CGGGGGGTGCGCGGGGGGCGGGAGGGAGAGCTGCGGGCACTGGCGGGGGCTGCTTGGGAGCAGGGTGACAGGCTCCGCGGGAAAGTTTCCTGTCCCTGGCATGGGGTGTGTGTCTATGGGTGGGTAACGTTACTTCCCCACCTCTGCGTGTGTGTGCTGGGGGGAGATATTCCGGTGAGGTTAGGGATGCACTAGAAACGTGCTCCCACCGGCAGGGTGATAGCTTATTGGTAAAATAAGTGGAGGGGGCTGCTTGGGAGCAGGGTGACAGGCTCCGCGGGAAAGTTTCCTGTCCCTGGCATGGGGTGTGTGTCTATGGGTGGGTAACGTTACTTCCCCACCTCTGCGTGTGTGTGCTGGGGGGAGATATTCCGGTGAGGTTAGGGATGCACTAGAAACGTGCTCCCACCGGCAGGGTGATAGCTTATTGGTAAAATAAGTGGAGCTTTCCGTGGGGCAGCCGAAAAATGATGCGTGCGCTCGGTGTTTTTTTGCACAAGCCAGAAGGCTTGAATTAAGGTGCTGCCTTGGTTTTGGGTGAATGGCTGTAAGACATCCTCTGGAAGGAGTTTTTATACAGCTGATGTAGATCTCATAGCAGATAGCTGTGAAACAGGCGCCCTCAGCACCTTGCGAAGCTATAGGTGGAATAGCTGCAAGCCAAGTCTTGTCTTTGGAGTTGCTTGTTATTACTGAGGGTGATCCCACTCTTTTCACAGTTTATCTGCTCAAGTACTTGTATGCGTTGAGCATATCAACTTCTAAGCCCTTATTATTTTTAGTTTTCATCATTAGATCTACTGAATAGTAGCAGAAATATAGTTTTATGTCCGCTCTCCCCTCATCTATCCTTTGAAACTTTACTTGTAATGCCTTCATACAGTTTTTTTCTTCCTGGCTGCTGACTTTGTGGCTATTTCCCTATGGTTTTTCCATATTTTGTTCCTTTTGGTAATAGCAGCACCAATATTTTCCCGTCCTCATATAAATCCATGATTCAAAATTAACTGGTACCAATGGTACCTTTTCAGTTGTATTGCTCCTGCAAAAGTTAAATGGTGTTTTAGATCTGTTTTCCTAATGATTTAGTTAAACTGAGATTATCTACTGAGATTCAGAATAAGTATACTAATATATAGTTAGTGATCAGCTGACTTTTCTAGCTGAACTTTGAGTGTAAATAATCATAGTTACAAAAACTAAAGCTGCAAGTTAAAACTGGCATATTCATGACTTTATTTATTGCCAGTCTACAGAACAGCAAGTCAACTTTTATTTTTTAGTCAAAATTCGAATCCTACTGTATATTAACAAAAATGAATGCTTCAGTAGTCTGTAGTTTACATTTTGTCATGCAATTTTGAGTTCACTAGGGAAAGTGGGATACTTAGGGCTATGGACTGCACATGGAGAACTGTCACATTCCTTTGTTTTAACCCCTTATCCACTTCTATGGTTTCATTTAAGCAAAAGGCTCAGACTGAGCAGAATGTTTGTGGCTCAGACAAGAAATCAAAACTTTAATTATATGAATGTAGGGATTGTTAAGCCCATGTCTGATTAATACATTCTGATTAATTGGAGAGAGAAGAGGCTTTAAATTGAGTGTTTGACAGCTTCTTAATTAAAAATAAATAAGAAAAGGTATATCAAACCAATACACCAACATGATGTGATAAGAATATTTTGGTACAGAATATCTTACGCATTATTTAAAGGAAGGCTTTTTAAAAATATAGAGAGATTGTAAGCTAAGTTATTTTTCAGGCCTAATATTATTGTTTCATACAAACGTATGCAAACACTAGCTAACTTGCTTCAAATCTGTGTAAACCTTTGCAGGAAAAAAAAATCCTCAGCTCAAAAAGCATTTCAGGGTTTAGAGTTTTGAATAGCATCTACCCCCACCTTTCCCCAATTTATTCCCAAAGGTTAAACAAATCATATAGTACTGGATAGAGTTACATGGTACAAGAATTTTATAAATGATCTGTCAGTGTAAGTTCTAGATGTGATTAGTGTGTTTTTACCATAGGATTTTAGTGCTGCTAAAATGTTACTCAGTTTTGATTATATGTTGTGTAGTCTTTACACAAGTAGTAGTCCCCAAATGTTTTATATATTAGACACATCTTTTATATATTAGACACATCTTTCACCTTATATTTAGTAGCATTGTCTCTACACCCCTTTTATTTCTTTGAAATACTTTTAATGAAGTTTCTGTGAATTCTTTGTCACACTCTCAAACAACACAAGACTTGAATTCCAATGAGGGATTTAAGTGAAATATGCAATGAGAGCAAAATGCAGATTGCAAAAAAGCTTCATGTATATAGTCAGGTTAAACTTTTTCAATCTGAAATTCCACTCTAATTTCAATAGCTAAAATCATGGTTGCTTTGAAAATATTCTTTTGTCATTTTGGTATTATGAGGCACTCATGTGACTTTATCTGCTGTTATATGAAAAGCTTATTTTGTGTATGTATTAGGTACATTTGTAAATAAAATATAAAATCCTTGGATAACTACTTGTGGTCCAGCAATATAGCAAGAGCAAAATAACCACCGATGAGGCAAATCCCTTTGTATTCCACTCTCACAAAATGCCAACTCGCCACTATCTAGATGTAAGGCTAATTTGGTTGGTTCTCTCTCACCTGAGTAGTTCATTAATGATGCACTGTGCACATACTCAGCAGAGCACCCGTTCTTTTTCCTACTTATTCACCCTCAGTGAGGTCTAAAGAACTTCAAGATCTTTTGCAGTAATGATGGCATCTGGGCATACCGAAATGTTATATTTCTTTCCCCTCCTTTTACTTGTGGGTACCATTCTGTAATAGTCAAGTACTTAACAGAATGGGTTAGCAGAGCCTTTTAAAGCAGTGAGACCAAAAAGGACTCTTTAATTGAAAACAACACTTAGAAATGTTTTAATTACTGTGGAATTGGTTATTTTCACAGTAAATACATTTTTCTGTTAAAGGCAAATGGACAAATTAAGGTTATGCCTTATTTCCTTTCATCATGCAACTAGTTATGTGGAAGTCAATGGGACCTACACCAGGCAGAAGTTGCTTACATGAAGTGTGTGCAAGAAAGAGTCCTGTGAGCCTGATCCAGGCTGCATTTTTCTAACACGCGGTTGCTCTTTTAGTCTGTATTTTATATGTGCAACTTTCCCATCTGTTAGTTTAAAGAGATTTTCTTCATAAAATATATTTTAACCAGACACTTTCAGCATAATGTTCATCCCTGGGTTTTTTAAAAAAAATACCTTTCAAGCAATAATACCTAACTCTGGTTTTCATTATTGTCCACAACTAGTCACTTTCACAACCAATAGAATATTTTTCCTAACATGGTCTTGGTCCTGCATGTCTTATTCAGGCAAAGCTCCCACTGATGTTAAACATCCCTGAAATTTTTCCTGATTATAGAATTCAGATTTGAGCTCTATGAATTCACATTTAATTTAGTATTCTTCAAGATGAGGAATTAAGAGGGAAACATTTAATATGCTTACTTGGTAGCATAGTAAGTTTGGTGTAGGTAGAATGCTGGCAGTCTAAAATTACTTTGCTAAATTTAAAAGTAAGTAAAAATAGGCAATAGAAAAAAATTAAAGGGTATGTCTAAATATGGAGCTGTGGACATATCTGTTACATTTAACCTGAATTTAACTTCTTCTATTTATAGATAGTGGTGTTTGTAATACAATCTGTTGGATTTGATTGAATATAGAAAATAGTAACTTAATAATGAAAACTAAAGTGTATACACTTCTTTAGATAGAGAACATGCATGCATACTATTGATTAACATAGATG